AGAACAAATAATTCTATTCATTAAGAGAATGCAACTATATATCTATCCTAACCACTTTGAATACACAGATACAAAATGGACATTCATCTGTATACCCTATTTTTTCAAAGTTCCGTTATTGAATATTATAGGTGTGTAAACTCAACAAAATATTCAAAAAGAATATTGGTCCAGTAGACCATAATAGCATTGGGAAAAATAAATGTATCTTAAGATAAAAAAATTTATTTTTCTTTTTGCTGAGCAATATACTTTGCATAAAAGTACCACATCTTTTTTTGTCCATTCCTTAGTTGGTGGGTATTTGGGGTGTTTCCAAGATTTACTTATGATAAATTGTGCTGCTATAAGCAGGAGTAAATATATATCTATGTGCCATGACATTTTCAATTCTTCTGGAAAAATACCCAGAAGAGGAATAAGTGGGTCACATGAGACCTCTAATTCTACTTTTTGAGGAGTTTCCACACTGATTTCCACAGTGACTGTACAGTTTACAGTCCCATCAACAGTGGAGAAGTGTTCTTTTTTTCCTCATCGGCATTTGTTATTGTTTGACATCTTTTTTTTTTTTTCGGAACCGGGGATTGAACTCAGGTCCTTGCGCTTGCCAGGGAAGTACTTATTCTACTGAGCCATCTCCCCAGCCCCCCTTGTTTGACATCTTGGTGACAGACATTTTTCTTTTTCCCCTGATTCTGTCAGTATTCACTGTCTTACATTCTAATTGAACAATATAAATCCAATTTGCTATTACCTAACTCACACCTATACTTCGGCTTATTATGTTTTTCTGTCAACAGTGTTGTATTACTTTTGAACGAATGAATTACAATTTATCTTAAATTTAGTATCTTGAAACAACACAGATTTATTTTCCAGTTTCATACATTAAAATTCTGACATGGCTTTTGCTGGGGCATACACAGGGTGGGCTGTCATGCCTATGTTTATTTTGAGAAGTAAAATACTGGATCCATTTGTTTGCCTTCTCCACTTTCAAAAGTCACTCCATTTCTTGGCTGATGGACCCCTTACTCCTTCTTCAAAGCTGTAATAATTCATTACAGCTCTTTGGGTTTTCTTCTGTAATCACATCTCCCTCTGACCACTGCTTGGAAATCTGCATTTGGGCTATGATCAGAGCAGGATTTATTACTTCACTGAGAGACCATTTACAAGGTTGAAATATAAGGGACAGAATAATAGGTGGTTGATAATGCTTCAGCTAATGCTCAGAGCCTAGCTGTGATCGTTGGATGGAACACCTGCATGTGGTTTTGCCATGGAGGTGGGCCTTCCTATCAGTGTGGACAATGGGCTCCAAAAGCAGCAGTGAGTGAGATAAAAACAGAGATGAAATATATTGGGGAGAGGAGGAGGAGGAGGAAGAGCAGGAGGAGGAGCAGACAGAGAGCGAGAGTGAGAGCGAGAGACTGAGAGAGTAAAAAATATATCACCTTTTATAACCCTGTCTCAGAAGACAAACAGGGTCATTTCTACAACCTTCAGTTCACTGAGGCAGTTAGAAAGCTTTAGCTAAAGAGGGAGATGAAATAGATTCTATTTCTGGATGTGGAACAGTAAGATTTTTGATTGTATATGTTTATTGAGTAAAAAAATAAAGTCTCTTCTATTGTACACATGCATATCATAAAGATAGGTGACTAAGTAGATTGAAAGAAGTAGTATTGCCAAGACTTGACCTTTTTAGGAACAAAATGCATGGGTTACCCGATCTCGGATCTGTTTAGTCTTCACACTGTAGACGATAGGATTCATCACAGGAGGAACTAGAAGATACACAAAGCCCATGACCACCTGGACCAAATGAGGTGCCTGCTTCCCAAAGCGATGGATGACTGATAAGCCAATCATGGGAGTGTAAAAGAGAAGCACAGCACAGATGTGGGAAACACAAGTATTAAGAGCTTTCACTCTCTCAGACCTGGAGGCGATGGATAACACTGTGCGCAGGATCAGCGCATAGGAGAGGAGGATAAGCAGTGAGTCCACACCCACTGTGGAAATGATGACAAACATGCCGTAGATGCTGTTGGCCTTGATGTCTGCACAGGCCAATTTCATCACTTCTTGGTGGAGACAGTAGGAGTGTGATAGCACTGGGGAGCCACAGTAGGGAAACCTTTTGAGCATAAAAGGCAGTGGGAAAATGAGTGCTACACTTCGGCCCAGAGATGCGAGACCGATTCTGCCGATGACAGCATTGGTGAGAATGGAAGCATAATGTAAGGGGCGACAAATGGCCACAAAACGATCAAAGGCCATAGACAGTAACACAGAGGACTCCAGGAAAGACAAGCAGTGAATGAAAAAGAGCTGGGCAAAACAGGCATCATGACCAATGTCTCGTGCCCCAAGCCAAAAAATACTCAACACTGTAGGGAGGGTACAAAGAGACAGACCCATGTCAGTCAGAGCTAGCATGGACAGGAAGAGGTACATAGGCTCATGGAGCGAGGGCTCCGTTTTGATGATGAAAAGGACTGTGACATTTCCCAGGATGGAAACCAGGTACATGAAGCACAGTGGGATGGAGATCCAGATGTGCATGTGCTCAAGCCCAGGAACCCCACTCAGCAGGAAGGAAGAAGATGTGCTGCTGTTGCCCAGGGATCCAAGTGTCATTGTACGCAGAGATAAGGGATGCATGCGACCACCGCCCCCCCCCCCCACAAGCTTGAGATGAGCTGTGGAGATGCTGTTGATTGCACCTAGCAATTGAAAGAAAAAGAGTTAAAAATCAAATATACCTGTACTGTACCACTTCTCCAGGAGGCTGCTCAGCTCTTGTCCTGGCTTCCTCTCAACATCTTTATGAGGTATAAGTTTCAGAATTTCTGTAAGAAACAAAGAAATTTTAAAGTGATTTTCTACAATTGTGCAACTTGTATAAACTAAATTTTTGAACTAGATATTCTACCTAAGGGATTTTTTTTATTCTCTAGCCTCTGCAACAACCAGGCCCCCTAACTCTGCTGTCTATCATTTTGAGTCCATGTCTTAGCATTTTGCCCAACTGAGTCTTGAGATCTTGAACTCAGGGAATTGTCCTGCCTCTTCCTCCTGGGTAGTTGGGACTACAGGGCTCTGCCACCTTTAGTAGGTTCAGTGGGAAGCACCTAGAAGAGGACCACAGGACAAAGGGATGCTCAGGTTCTCGGCCTTGGCGCTGTGGGTGAGCAGTGCATCTTATCACTGAAGGCCATCACTGCTGTTGGGATCTGTCTTCCACAGCAACTTATCTTCTGAATTCAGTAACTGCTCCATTTGCTCCTTAGGAGAAGAAAAGAGAACACATTCACTACTCAAGTTGGCCATAATAGCTTTGTCTCCCCCTGTGAAAGGACCTCCATTGAACATTCCTCCCTCTCCTCCTTTATTCTTGGCTCCTTTAATGTTTCAACTGTTCTGTCATCTTGTCTTTAGTTCTCTTACCTTACCTTCATTTTTTTATCTTTGACATTTTTCTTTACTTTTTATTTTCTGTCCTGTTAATTTCACCAGCTCCACACAACCTTTACTCTTAGATACCCATCAGTGCTTTACTTGGCCCTTTCTCTGCTGTTCTAACCCAGAAGCCTGGCCTTCTCCAGCTAGCTCATAAGCACTGCTTTTCTCGCTTTAAATCCAGAGAGAAATAGAGGTTGTGGGATGGCTTTCTGGGAAGCTATCCTTATCACTGGAATAAGAATCAAAGCCATAATTCTCCATTCAGGCAATAATGCACATTCCCCAGAAGCCTGGGAATCCAACCTATGGATCTAGGTGGCAGGAAAGTCTGAGGCACCACAAGCATAATCACATCCTCAGTCTTAGGGCTGAATCCATAAAACCAAAAGATCTAGCCAGGCCCTCCAGTAGTACAGGAGATTAAAGGTTCACAATGGACAACCTAACATACCTCTCAGGCCTCCTAATTTCCAGAGGGATGGTCTCCCACTCCACTAGTCACAAACCCAGTGATCTGAGAACCCACAGAGAATGGGGGTTTTGATTTGTTTACCTCCATAAAACCAGTGCTTAGAATGTGCTCAACAATCTTTCCTGACATGAATTACTTAAGTGTTACTTAGTTGACTATAATTAACACATATTTTATCTTCCTGCTATTCTCTTACAATGCTACATTATAAATGAGGAGGTTAAGGACAAAATTTGCATTTCTAGGATCAGTGAGGTAACTATACAGCATGGCATTTGAAATAAGAACATTTTTTCTCAGAGTCTGGGCTTGATTTAGCTGTCACACTATCCTATCACTGAAGGGTAATTATTTAGGGTCAAACTACAAAAGTTAACATAAAATTAAAGACTTAATAAGCCTATAAATAAAAATTCTGAACTAGGTTAATATTGTAAATACACTGGGGAGGGGGATGTGGTTCCGTGATACAGCACTTGCCTTGCATGGGAGAGACCTTGGATTCAACCCACAACACCACAAAATACAAATTATCCAATCAAAACAACAACAAAAAATTATAATCTCTCTCTCTCTCTCTCTCTCTCTCTCTCTCTCTCTCTCTCTCTCTCTCCCTCTCTCTCTCTGTATTCTTCTTTCTCACTGTAAGTGCCAGTCACATTAATAGTGATACTAACTCACTGTCCAGCTGAAGTTCAGTTGGCCTTTCGCTGTGTTCCTCAGCTTCTGCGGTTGCCATGGCCTGTGATCACCACCTTCATCATAATGCATTCAAGAGAGCTTGATATGATTACCTGTTCGGAGACATTAATAATAGAACCCATCAAACCAAAGCAGACAATGTTTTAGGCATTAAACTTAAGTAAGGTGCTAGAGAATGAAAACCTTGCAACTTATTGTTATTACCTTAATTTGCGAATATGGAAAAAAAAATTTAGAGACTTTGCTCATATGCCTGAAGTCAAAGAACAAATCATTGGCTGAGAAGGAATTTAAACTTAAATTTTTGGAGCTTCAAAGGACATAGGAAAAATAAGGAAAAAAGGTTAACAAATATGGGCACATGTTTAAGACAGCCTGAAGTGGGTGGGAGTTATATGACAAAGGATAGAGAGATACAGCAACTGTCCTTTGTTCCCAACTTTTGTTTGTGACAAGCTGAAGAGAGACTCTCCATTTGGACACTGAGTTTCTTACAATAGGGAAAGGCAGAAGAGGAATCAGAGAAGAAATGGTATTTAAAAGTTGTGATAGTGGATTAAGAATGAAAAGAAAAGCCAGAGTAAGGAAGCCAGGCAATATGTGCTTGAGAATGATCACCTTTAGCCTGTTGCCTGAAGAGATTCTAGTAAGACTGCTTCCTAAATCCTTCTTACTAAAGATCTTTAGAGAATCTAGTAAAAAGTTGGGAGAGTATTTTTTTATTCATGATTATTACTAATGCAATTAACCAGGATGGAAGGGCAAATGGTAGATTTAGTGCATGGTCTTCCTGCCCAGTTGAGATTTTTTTTTCCCCAAAAGAATTTGTGCAAATTAAATGACTTCTGATTCTATTATTCATATTCTGTGGTCACTCAATGAAATATTTTTATGTTACATAAAAGTTTTTCTTCCAGAATATTAGATTGCTTCATATCTTACTATCTCTTTTCTCCTTCAAAGTAACTGCCAATTCTACTAACCTCATGGTTGAGGGTAAGGGGTAGCGGTCGAACCCTTAGTAACTGAGGTCATTTCATTTATACATCTTGGCTTTTCCTGTCCGGCTCCTTGTCTCCCTGGATCCCACTGACCACAGAGAAGACCACTCTTTGGGCAGGCAAACAAGGAGGCAAATGGATGTGAGAGAGCTGTTGCCTGTGTTCTGAGCTCCTGCTGAGACTTGGGGCCCCATGAAGTCAGCAAGATCTGACTCCAGCACTGTTCACCTTCAGTAGGCCTCCTGTGCAATCTCCTACTGATTAAGAAAGGCCATCCTCTCTCCTTACCCTCTGAAGCTCAGGCTGAATCTTCTGATATCTCTTCTTGGCTCTGTACAACTTAGCACAAAACACCCAATTACTGAACTGACTCATACCAAGACTAAGCACAGACAGAAGAAGGAAGCCTGAAACCAGAGGCCAGGTGAGATGTAAAGGGCGGATGTTTAAATCTCTGACTTTTATGCAGTTGTCTGATTCACCCCTGAGATCCATTCTCAGATCTGTAATCAATTCCCTACTAGTACTGGACCCCTGGGCCTCATCCCCTCCGGCTCCAGGGATAAGGGACAAAGAGAAAAGCAGTCTTCTGGGATGCCTGGATGGCGATCCTCGAGTACTACATACTTATGAATACTGCTGAAGGATGCAGAGACACTTCTGAAGAAACTCCACAACCTCAGGATAGCAGAGTGTTTTATGTTTTATGTGTAATATAGCTCAATGATAATTTATGGACATTGATTATGATGGTGTGTTAGTGGCAGTTAACCAAATGTAATGTTTATAAAGTGCTTTTTAGTAAGGTACTGTTAAGGTTTAGATCTAAAATGGTTCCCCAAACTGCATGTATTTGGAGCATGATTGGATTATAGGGGAAACACTGACTTGTTGACACTCAGTGTCTGGGCAGGAAACATGTATCACTGTGGGCATGGCCTGGAAGGCCATGTTTGGTGGAGGAAGACCCAGAATTCTATTTAATTTGTCATAGTTTTGATTAGAGCACAAGAAAGAACATAGATATTGACTTTATTATTGGAAAGTAAATGCACGGTTAAAACTGCAGGGTTAAATGGTAGCTCTCATACATCTGTAAGGGGAAAACAGGACATGGGGTACAGAATCAACTTTTCCCTTCTGGCTCCTTCTCTTCCTTCTTCTCCTTCTTCTCCTTCTCCTTCTCCCTCTCTTTCTCCTTCTCTTCCTTCTCTTCCTTTTCCTTCTCTTTCTCCTCCTTATGCTCCTCCTTTCTGTCTCTGTCTCTGTCTCTGTTTCTCTCTGTGTCTCTGTCTCTGTCCCTGTCCCTGTCTCTCTGTCTCTGTCTCTGTCTGTCTGTCTGTCTGTCTGTCTGTCTGTCTGTCTGTCTCTCCCTCTCTCTCTCTCCCCATCCCTCTTCCTCACCCTCTTCCTCTCTGTCTCTGTCTCTGTCTCTGTCTCTGTCTCTCTCTCTCTCTCTCTCTCTCTCTCTCTCTGCTGCCATGCCCTCTGCCATAAGACCAGCTTACTATGGACTGAAATAGAAGCCAAAATAAAGCTTTCCTCCTTTAAGTTGTGAATATCATTGTTTTGTCCCAACAAGAAGGAAAGTAACTTGGGCTGGGGAGATAGCTCAGTGGAATAAGTGATCACCTGGTGAGCCCAAGGAGTTTGGTCCCTGGTAGCACCAGAAAAAGAAAAAGGAAAATAACTCATGCAGATAGGGAGAGAGAGAGAGAGAGAGAGAGAGAGAGAGAGAGAGAGAGAGAGAGAGAGAGATACTGTCTGATCTCACATGTGAGAACTAAAACAGTTGATGTACAAAGTGACACTAGATGGGATGGACAAAGGAAGTATGCTCAATAGGCATAATTAGCTATAATTAGATGGAGGAAATTTCTGGTGCTCTAAAATTACTAACTCAAATCTGAAAAAGCAGAATTGAAGGCATAGCCCAGTGCTACAGCATCTATTTAGTATTCTGGCGGCTGTGGCATCAACCTCCATACCACCCTGCCAGCCCCCAAACCACA